CGGTTTATATCCTGTGTTTGATGGCCACATTTGGCATCGTTAGTTAGATCTATTCGACCAAGTGAGAAAGAGAAAGCTATAATGGTCAGCTCTACATTCGTTGAAGATAGTTGAAGATTTTTCAGAGAGTATTTAAAATACACTTTATTAAAAATAGCTCGAAACTTCGTAGACGTAAAGCATTGTGTACTTCTAGAGATTCGAGTGATTTTTCTCGTCAAATGTCTCCGGATGAGCTTCAATCGTCGATCGTTTCACTGGTGTCGATGACAACTGTCTCGTGTCCTCCGTTGTCTCCCGCAAATTCAAATATCATTCGCCAACGAGGGTGAAAGGAGATTGGGGAAAAAAAGATGGAGCGAAAGAAAGATGCAGGGGACTTTGCCACGTTGTAGAGAAGTTGGCTGCCAAGTCGACAAAGTCGGCTGCGAGGGAAAGCAATCTTAAAGCAGGCAGAACGAAGGCAAGAAAGGAGGAAGGCAGGGGGAAAGTAGCTTTCCCTGAATGCGGTATGAGAAGTTCGAAGGCCGAAGTCAAAAGTTTCGAAGACAAAGGCTGGCACAAAAGCTTGCCACGGATGGCGAACATGCCGCGATTCAGTTCGGGGCTGTGATTGCACGACATTTCGTTGCACTGCAACTACAACGATTCTTCAGTTGTCGGAATTTCACTCGAAGATCGTCGAATCACGCAGAGTGTCCTGTATAATCGTATGAGACTTCAATTTCCGCAGATAGATTCCCATTGGATCTACACATATGTAGAGGAATGTTTTTTTTTTTTTTTTTCTTTCAAGATACAATATTTTACTGATAAGCAATTGTCACAACAGAAATAATAGTGAGTACAAATTGGTACTTGTCTTCATCTTCATCTTATTTTGAAATTGTGCACTGTGTGTTTAATTACTTCTAGGCTATACTCGACGAAGACACAGTTAAATGCATTTGCTGTGAGATTAAGTTAAATTATAACAAAATTACAAATTTTTTTTAATGATATTCACGGTATTTGCAGAGCTTAACATTTTATTTTCTTAAAACTTGTTCCGTTAAAAGAAACTCAAAATGTGGAGGAAAAAACTTGGATTTTTGATTAGTTCATAAGAGGAAGTGAAAAATCAAATACTTGCAAAATTAAAATGATTAGAGATAAATTTAATTTGTTTTTTGCAGTGTATCGACTGCGTCAGATTTCTCCAAACTTTCAAGTGCGTATTTTCTTTGTTTGTTCTGTTGCGTTGAAATATTTTAAAATGTGCTAAAGATTACAAATATATATGATTTTTGTACCTAAATTTTACAATAAATAGCGAAAGTGATTTTTTTTTTTTTT